GACATGAATGTGGGAGACTGATCGGAAGGTCCTGGAGGGGTGGACATGATCAAAATACATTGTATCCGTGTATGAAGATGTAAAATAATGAAATATTACTAAATATGTGTAAAAATGTTTTAAATGTTGCCTGGGACTCTTGGAAGATTGCAGTGGAGTCTTGGTTAATACAACAGGACATATCCAAGGGCTAGCCTCTGACTAACTGAACAAGTGAGGATGTTCTTGAACTTCTTTCTGATCCTCCTGCTTCCACTTGCCAAGTGCTGCTTTTACAGGCATGCAGCACCATGCCTGTTTTATGTGGTAAAATTTCCTAAGAGTACAGTATTTCACACCTGGAGCTTCATGTTTCTCCAGAGGAGTGTGTGCTTGTAACTTCCTAATCTTTACCTTCTTTCCAGAGAGACTAAAGGTAAGTCTCTCTTATTTTATGAGAAATGGTCTACTTTTGTTTGTTTGTGTATGACAGGATCACAGGTAACCCGGACTGACCTACAACTCATTATGTAGCCCAGGTTGGTCTTAATTTCCTACTCTTCCTGCTTTTACATTTAAAGCATGGAGATTACAGTCCTGCACCATCCTGCCTCCTTCCTCCAGTACTGGGATTAAACCCAGGGCCTCAAGGATGCTAAGAGAGCCCTCTATCCACCAGAGAGCTTCATCCTCCACTTTGTAAATGTTGGTGACTTAGTCACAAACACCATGAAACAATGTGAAAGTGAAACAGCATGTTTGTCAACCTGCTTTTCTGGCGTCCGGCACAGGAATACCGATTAGTCAAAATAAGGATGTTCTTCCTCTGAGTAGAAAGAATTACCTAAGTGAAAAAATGAAAAAGGATTCGAGCACTGAATATGCCTTACTAAGGGTCAGATCCAACTCTGACACTCCTGAGCACAGGAGAAATGAACTTCCGGATTGGTTTTGAGGGATCCAAAAGCAGACTCCAGGGCTGGGTACATAGATCAGTGACAGTGTCCTGTATGAGGGCTAGGCCCGGGAGTTCATTTCCAGTACTTTGTGGTAGAGATGAGAGGAGCAGAATACTGTTTTCCTCTCTTCCTAGACACAGTCATACCAAGTGAGGCAACAGGAGTGTGTGTTATTGGTGCAAGGTGGGAGTTTTACACATCTGTTTCAGCAGATTGGACAGAGACTGGAAACAGAACGATGTCACTGTGCCTGAATTTATCTTATTGAGACATCTCAAAGCGACAAATATCAATTCTAGAAGCCAAGAGAGTCACAGAAGTGGACTGGTACTCAGTTGAATTGGAAGGGTCTTTCAGATGAGAATGATCACATGCATGTTGGGGGGCCTTCTGGCACCTTGCTGCCCCCTAAATTTTGGCATCTGGCTTGATTGGACTACTGCCAGGATACAATAGTACATTCCTGGCTGACCTGGGGCTTTCGATAAGATCATCTTCCTGAAATACCTTAAATCCTGCTCTCCCTCAGGGCTTCCTAAATAACTCTTCTGAGGAACTTTCCAAATTACCATTATTAGCACATCTTGGTGGGACATCCTGTGATTTCTAGTCACTTAGTAACCCTGCCAAAGGCAATTACATTCCTTCAGCTTCTGCCTATATAGTTGTATGGAAAACTCAAATAAATGGAGACTTTGATCAGAGATACTGTCTTGGTCTTCATTTCTTGTGTCCTTGTCCCTTTTTTCATTCCCACTCCCTCATTCAGGATCTCCAGTGACAGACCTGCGGGACGGGTCACATGCATGTCTTCATGAGGTTCACATAAGTAAAAAAATATGGTTTCCAGTGTAAAAATGAGTTGTATTTCTTGAACACTTGGGTTTACAGAACAAAAGAAAAATTATGAAATCTCACTAATCTTTTTATTATAAACTTGGTCGTAGCCAAGATTTGACATAAAATATTGCCTTTATTGTTTTCTGACCAGTTCCCATTGCAACTTCCACTTCTTCTTGTCACAATTAACTGTCCATTCTAAGTTTTTGTTGTTATTATTGTTGTCGTTTGTTTTGTAGTTCTTGGCATGGAATCCAGTACCTCGCACATACTAAGCAAGAGAACACTCACAGCTCTAAACTCCACATTTCTATGTCTGTGAAAGTATGTTTTTCAGAAACTCCTGATTGTAAATATTATTTGGGTTTCTGAAGTGTATTTTTTTGGAAGCACAGGGACATTTTTATTTGGGGGGAGCTTTGTTGTTGCTACAACAAAGCACCTCAGGACAGGCAAGCTGTCAAACCTCAGCAAGTGCCTGGAGAATGGATGAGAGGGGGCTGCTGGCAGGGGGGAAAAGCAGAGTATGCTGCTAAAGCTGTCTCTGTGGACAAACAGCCACAAGGCAGGGGATGGGGGCTCGAACACATGAAGAGACACTCTTAAGAAAAGCTCCCTTTAAAAAGAGGTAAAGTAAAAAAGAAGTTACCCTTAACGTGAGGAGACCTGTGTGTGACTCTGTGTGGCTGTGGTCCATTAGGTTCTGCCTTCGGAAGACTATTTTTGACGTTATAGAAACTTCAAACTATACTTAATCTTAATGATTATATTTCTTCTATATGTAAATATACACAAAGCCAAAGTGTATTATTAATATCTGTAAGTCCATAATATGATGTTAAAGGTTTTGGTTAAGGGGCTGAGATGTAAAGATAACTTGCTCCTCTTGCAGAAGGAGTTCTTAACACCCACGTTGGGCTCTTCACAATCACCTGTAACAGCAGTTCCAGGGCTCTGAAGGCACCTGCATTCATGTGCACCACACCCATATGCATAATTCAAATTTTAAGAAATATTTAAAAAAAAATGGAGCTGGAAAGATGGCTCAGTGCTTAAGAATACTGACTGCTCCTCCTGAGGTCCCAGGTTAAATTCAAAGCACCTACACACGGCAGCTCACAATTTTATGTAACTCCAGCCCTAGGGGATCTGATGTCCTCTTCTGGCTTCCATGGACACTTCTTGCAAGTGGTGCACAAACTTACCCCCAAGCATGCCTTTAATCCCAGCACTTGGGAGGCAGAGGCAGAGGGATCTCTGTGAGTTCAAGGGCAGCCTGGTCTACAAAGCGAGTCCAGGACAGCCAGGGCTACATAAAGAAACCCTGTCTCGAAAAACAGAAACAAAAAGAAAATAAAAGACATACATCCAAGTAAAACAACCATACATATAAAATAAATAATTTAAATTATATAAAATAAAAGATTTTTGATGCTATCTTTCCAAAGCCATGCATACACATTATATGTATTTTCTGGTTCATAATTGTATATATATTGTATGAAAATTAAGAGGTTTGAGAGATGGCTCAGAGGTTAAGAACACTGTTCTTCCAAAGGTCCTGAGTTCAAGTCCCAGTAACCACATGGTTGCTCATTACCATATTTGGTGCCCTCTTCTGGCATGCAGGCAGAACATTGTATACATAATAAATAAATCTGAAAGAAAGAAAGAAAGAAAGAAAGAAAGAAAGAAAGAAAGAAAGAA